ACCCTAAACCCTAAACCCTTTAGCTGCTAGTTGCTAGCAAGGCACGGGATGGCAGCGGCCGGCCCCTGCTGCGGCCATGGCTGGAAAAGGCCCTGGGGCTTCCGGAGCCTCGTCCCGTCCTTGCAACAGAAAGCGACATGCCTAAGCCCCCCAAAAGTAGGTGAAACTATAGCTCAAAATCCTTCGCCTAAGCCACCCAAAGTCGGTAAAATCATGACCCGAAACTCCCTAAAAACAGCTAACAGTATTCTACATACTATTGGGGTTGAGGTGCTCCTTAAGGCGCGGCTAATACAAACTATGTGCTGCCTCTTCAGCCAGGGAGACCCGATATTGATAGACATGGATAAAAGGAGGTTTTGGAGGCTTAAGGCTTGTAGAGTTTGGGAGCAGGGCTTGCTTGGCGTTAGTCATATGATTTCAAGGAGCATTTTGGTTCAGGATTCGGGATTGGCGGTGCGAGAATGTGCCCATCTCCCCTAACCCTAAACCTAAACCCTGATGCTATGCTGAGAAGATGGTTGAAGTTCAGGGTTAGCTTCTTTCCTTTTAGATCCTTTTAGGTGGTCATGGTGAACTTCCGGTTCCTCTGAAGTGGTTGGGGACCCCTTCAGGGAACAAGAGGGTAACTACAACCCAGGATCCCTTTCGCGAGATGTTCCGTGCAATCTTGGTTTGGGTTGCTGCTGCGTTTTAATCCCAAAAGGTTCTCCACCTAAACCCTGAACACCTAAATCCCGAGCCCCTAAATCCCTGAAACCCTCAATCCTTAAAACCCCTAACCCCCTAACCCCCTAACCCCCTAACCCCCTAACCCCCTAACCCCCTAACTCCTTAACCCTAAATCCTAAACAGCCGAGGAGGGTTCAGTGCTGGCCTTCTGCGTAGATGAGGACTGCGTGTGTCGGGACCACTGGGGTTTAGGGTTCGGGTTTAGGGGTTTAGGGTTTAGGGGTGGACTTGCTCAGAAGACCGAAAATTGCGCGAGTTTTCTGGATCATGCCTTATATGTAGATTTCTAAGCTGCGCGAGTTGTCTTGAGTATGCCTGCTGATTATGCTACGAAAACTCGAGTATGTAATTGCCCCAGGGCTCCGAAATTACGATAAAGTAGGTGCTATTTGTAGACTTCGGTGCCCAAAGTCCAAACCCTAAATCCAAACCCTACAGTCACCCAAAGCCCTGGGCCCTACAGCTTAAATACCGCCTGCGCCATCGAATACGAATCCTACCAAAGCCCTGACAAACCCAACCTTAATCCATAAGCCCGAAATCCCAAACCCTAAGCCCTGAACCCTATCCTAAAACCCAAAAACGGACTACATTGGAGGGCCAAGCAGGCCCTGAACCCTAAACCCTTAACCCAAAACCCTAAACCTTTACAGGACTGCGTGCGCGGACCCCATGCCTCGGTCCTGCGGCTGCATCTTTCCTTTGCGTCGGAAGGCCTGGGGCCCGAGGCGGCGGATTGTTTAGGGTTTTGGTTTCAGGTCTTTTTTGGGCATAGGTTTAGGGTGTAGGGTTTTGGGTGTAGGTCTTTTTGTTTTTTTTTGGCGTTGAGGCTTTAGGCCTTAGGTAGGCAAAAAATCCCAAGCTATGACAGGGTATTATCCTACAGTCTCTTGTAGCCTCAACTCCAAACCTTAAACTCTAAACCCCAAACACCAAAACCATACAACCTCCCAAAGCCCAGAACTCTAAACCCTTAACTCTAAACCCTAAACCCTAAACACTGAAACCCTAAACTCTAAACCCTAAAACCCTAAACCCTAAACCCTAAACCTTAAAACCCTAAACCCTAAAACCTTAAACCTTAAAACCCTAAACCCTAAACCCTAAACTTAAAACCCTTGCAAAACCCTAAACCCTAAAACCCTAAACCCTAAACATCTGAGCCCTGAACCCTGAGCCTGGGAGGCCCTGATACTGAAGCGCTCCACGCCCAAGGATGCTAAGCATGCGGCACTCTACGCGAGGGAGTCTGCGTTGGCATTTTTTGGGAGTTTTGGGAGTTTTAGGGTTTAGGGGTTTAGGGTTTAGGGGTTTAGGGTTTAGGGTTTAGGGTTTTAGGGTTTAGGATTAGTACAGTATATTTTAATATATTATGGTATATTATGGGGTTATATTGGGACAATGGAAAAGAACATGGAAACCATTATGTAGGGTAGGGATTTTAGGGTTTAAGGCTTTCAGGGTTTTAGGTTGAGGGTTTTGAGTTTGGGAATTTACAGGTTTCCTGCGAAGGGTTTTGTTTGTGGGTTTTGATTGTTCCCACAATGCTCCCTATACACCTAAACCCTAAACCCTAAAACCCTAAACCCTAAATCCTAAAACCCTAAAACCCTTAACCCTAAACTATCGGAGCTGGTCTCCTGCTTTTTAAAGCTGTCGTAGGGTTTCTTCATTAGTCTAGGTTTCAGGGTACAAGGTGTGACACCACAAAGCCCCCAAACTCACGAGATGCATTTTCGGAACGGCTCCAAAGGCCAATCAGACCCCAGACCCTAAACCCTTGAACCC